GGTAAGCTGGAGCTCCTCAGTTTAAATAGGTAACCCCAGTCAGGTTTTCTCTTTCTTCTTCCTTACAGGTGGAGACTCCTACTGGATCCTTGCTTCCTCTGGTTGGGGGATGGGTTGATGTGATTAGGAATTTTTTTTTCCTTATCCTATTTGGGTATCCTGGGTTTCTGCACTCTTGGGGGGTTCCACATGTGTCTGTCCCTGGATCAATGCAGTTTACAGGCTGTGCACATACCTCCCACCTCCAGGTTAGCTACCACATGTGGCAGCATAATTCTCCCTTTGGGTTGGACCACTGGGTCATGGGCTTGTGCTCACTCATCTCTTTCCCTGGGTTCTGCTGGTGGCTCTTCTGTCAGTGTCATTGACTGGTCATCAGGCTGCCTATAAGGCAGCAGTGACTGCTATTGTGGCACAGAGTGGTCCCTCTGTCAGCAGTTGCTGTGGCAGTGGCCGAGGTGGAATAGTCGTGGCACCTGTGTCTGTGGCCACTGCAGGGCTGCTGTTGCTGTCAATCACGTGTGTAGGGGTGCTTCCCCTGGCCAGTGAGAGCCCCAGGCATGCTGCTCCCCACTTTCATAATTTGTTCTTACTTGGTAAGTAAGATAAAGATACTATGAACAATTTTTAGGTAATTGTTGCTGCAAGTTCTGAAGATCTATGTTACATTATTGTAGTCCTTTCTCAGCACTTATTCTAGAGAACTTTAGGTTTTAAAGGCACTTTTCTATAAAAGGTGAATATTAAAATATTGAAAAGCTTGTTGGTTAACTTATGAAGAAAATTTCACTAGTTTATTATTTAATGTCAAATATATTGCACATTCGGTGCAAATTTCCAATCTTTTTAGTACATTACCTAAGTAGTTAGAATAATGAGACCTCCAAACAATCCTTACGGGGATATCTAAGACATGGGAGCACTTTTACTTAGGAGGCAAATGCACTAAAACTTGGATGCAGTAGGCAGATTGTTAAAATATTTAAGATATTTTACATTCATGGTTGTCACTACAAATTGCTCTTTGTGATACATATCTGAGATACTAGAGTATAGAGCTTTAACATATGAATTTGGGGGGGGGACAATTTAGCCTATAATAATTCTCCAAGGAAATAAATGTGAAGTTCATAAATAGGACAGCCGAAACCTCCTTTAATCCAACATTCTACTAATTTCTGGTGCACAGATTACTATAAATAATTTTGATGATGAGGTTTTCCCAACTTCCCTTAAGTGTGACTCCAGAGGAACTAGAAGCATGCATTTATACATAAATAGATCAAAAATACTCCAAATTATAAAAGAATGGAGGTAGAGGGAACACAGACAAAAATGTAAAAGCTGTTATTTAAACTTGGCTTCTTTCTTCTCTCCCATATCAAGATATGGAATTTCTTTATTTTTAGTTTCATACTTTTCTGCAGGTAAATCTTAATTTTTTTCTTGGTGTCTCATTTCTCCCAGTTTTTCTTTCTTGCCCAATTATATTTTTTATCTGAATATTTTTAATTTTTACCTCTGCCTTTTTCTCCCTTTTGTTTTAGATCTCACTTCTGCAGGAACTAATTCAACTGACTATCTTGCTATTCTTCTCTTGGACTCCTCCTTTGCTGACCTGTCAACAGAACTGAAATTCTTTTGAGAAGTCTCTTTGGTGAGTGTGCTGGGTTTAGTGAATGAGGGAGGGGACTTCAGTCATTGCCCATAAAGGCAGAAGCCAGAATCCCATCATATATGCTCAGCTTTCTTGGTTATTTTTTTTTAGGTTTGTCTCTTAAGCAGTATGTGGGAAGATATTTTAGTTTGATTCAAACATAATCTTTTTTATGTGCATCTGGATTACTGACATATTTAGACTTATTTCTAATATTTGGTTTTTCTTGGCATGCTCTTGGTTTTTCTATTATTTTTTAGTCTGTCTTATGTAGCATTGATAAAGTTTTTCACTAATTTAGGAAATGTAAAGTTTATACCTGTTCTTATGACAAGTACCCTTAAAACACACACACACACACACACACACACACACACACACACACACACACACACACAC